CAGAATAGCATGGCCCCTGCGTAAGGATGACATGCAGAAAGCGAGAATGGTCAAAAAAAAAAAAAAAAAAAGAACTTTAAAAAAGAGTTAAAAAAACTTGATAGGACGGTAAATATTTGGGCCACCGTGGGGTGGTTGTGGAATTGTGATAGAGTTGAACTTTTGAAGATGGTGCCGAAAAGAATGATACACAGAATTACACACAGTACAACTATGGGCTTGGATATAGTGGTAGTTGTGCATGGGCAGGCAAAAAAAAAAAAAGAGTTGGGTATGGCAGGCAAAAAAAAAATAGTTGGGTATGGGCAGGCAAAACAAAATACTGCCCGTTCTTAAGGCAGGCACAACTGCCCTAATGGAGATCATGGGCAGGTAGGGGTAGGTAGGGGCAGGGGCCCAAAACAAAACCCTGGTATGGGCCGCCAAAAAGAAAAATAGAATGGGTATGGGGGTGGCAAAAAACAAAAATACGGGTACGGGCGGGTAGAGGTTCCTGTCGGGTAACCGTGGAATACCTGGTACCTATACTTTCCAACCATACTTGCAACCGCACGAGCCGCACATTCGTGCGGAGTTCCGTGCGGGGGGTGCCTGCGAGGAATCGTGCAGGTTTTTTATTTTTATTATTATTAATTTATTATTTTATCTTTTTTTGGGAGGGGGAACGGGGGGGCGTATGACAGGAAGATGGGGATATGGCGAGGAGAGAGGGATATGGAGAGGAGGAGGAGGATGTGGACGAGGAGGACGACGAGGATAGCGAGGACAACGGGGAGGAGTTGTCGAGATGGGGGAGGAGAAGAGATGGAGGGAGGGAAAAGAGGAAGGGCAGGAAGAGGACGACGAGTGGGAGGAGGAGGAGACATGGATGGCGAGGAAGGGGAGAACACGAGGAAGGGAAGGAGACCAGGAGGCATTGAAGATGAGGAAGCACGAGGAGGAGGAGGAGGAGACAAGGAGGATGAGGAAGGGCAGGAGGAGGAGGACGAACAGGAGGAGGAGGAGGAGGAGGAGACGAAAAGGAGAAGGGAGGAGACATGGAAGATGAGGAAGGGGAGGAGGAGCAAGGTGAGGCAGTACTCCTGTAAATGTTTTTTTCATCTCGCTTATAATTTTGGCGGGGGGCCTCAAACGCACTGTTTCGACCCCGGCCTTTTTTTTTTCTGAGGGGGGTGATGGGTCGTTCTCCGCACACGTCGTGCGCTGCACGGGATCGGTTGGGCGCGTGCGCCGCACGTAGGGAACCGCCCGCACGACATGCGCTTGCATGTATGATTCCAACCCACCAACTCACCAACCCACCAACCCAGCCACCTCCCTCTACCCCCCTGTCCCCCCACCACAAGTTCTAGGCCCAAGAAAAAGAATTATCTTGCTGCCTCGTTGAAATTCCCAAACTTCCATTTTTTTCCCCCCCACCGCCTCACCGCTGCATTGTTGGAAGTCCAAAAGTTTCCCGACTTCGAGTTGGGCCTTCCAGGTGGGCCTCGCTCCACTTTTCAACATTTTGTGAGCAGTGGAGTGAGGCCCGTTACCTCCCGCCCCTTTCCATTCCCTGTTCCCACTACTCCCCGGAGTCTCCGCCTGTCGTTTACATCCCCCCCCACCGTCCTGATTTGCTGCCTGTAGTTGTCCTTCCTCCATAGCTTCCATGGCCTGCGTCGCAGGTGTGACCCAGCAGGAGGCTGTTGCAGGTGTGATCGGAGGCCGCAGCAGCCGTGGCAGGACTCAGGAGACGGGCACGGCCGGCTACAGGCGGGTGCATACAATTGTGGGTGGGTACGGGGGTTATAATAAGTAAAGAACACCCAGGCTGCGTAGGGTATGGGTGGTTTTGAAAAAAGAAAGTCCATTGGCAGGTATGGGCAGTTACAGTCTGAACAGGTTCAGGTAGGGCAGGTATGGGTACACGTTTTTTTCTTTTGGAGCAGGTGGAGATGGGTAAAGGTCCTGTAGGCCAGGTATACAGCGGGTATGGGTGGCTGGCTTTGAAAGAGGGTGCAGTTAGGTTGGGTACAACTATTCGTAAAAATCGTGGCAACTGCGGACCCGGACATGTCTGGACCGAGGGCCAGACATTTGTCTGGACTAGTCCAGACGTCCGGTAATCCGGACAGGCACCGGACAACCGGACAAAACCGGACCCGGA